GTTGCCCAGGCTAGAGTGCAATGGTGCGATCTTGGCTCACCGCAACCTCCGTCTCCCAGGTTCAAGTGATTCTCCTCTCTCAGACTCCTGAGTAGCTAGGATTACAGACATGCACCACCATACCCAGCTTATTTTGCATTTTTAGTAGAGACGGGATTTCTCCATGTTGGTCAGGCTGGTGTCCAACTCCCGACCCCAGGTGATCCACCTACCACGGCCTCCCAAAGTGCTGGCATTACAGGCGCGAGCCACTGTGCCTGGCCTATTTATTAATAAGATTGAGTCTCACTATGTTGCCAGGCTGATTTCACACTCCTGGTCTGAAGCAATCCTCTCACCTCAGCCTCCCAAAGTACTGGGATTCCAGGCATGAGCCACCATATCTGGCCGACATAATTTTTTTTAATTTTTAATTTTTAAGATAACTTAGACTTTTAAATTCACCACGGTGAGTGATGTGAAACTAAACATCAGGAGAAAATATATGTCAAGGGCTGGAGATCAGTGTGAATTAACATAAAAGGGATTATACCACAATGAAGGTATTTTCCCAAATCACATCCAAAGGCAAGCAATTTTGTGACACCATACAGAAAGCCACCATACAAAGTCAGTCACACTGGAGTATAAAATACAAAAATCTAATTTCATGCTTCTAAATCAGAGCATCTTCAAACTCTAAACTAAAACCACAGCATCTGAGTGCTAAAAAAAACTTTAGCCAGGCACAGTGGCTCACACCTCTAATCCCAGCACTTTGGGAGACTGAGGCAGGCAGACCACCTAAGGTCAGGAGTTTGAGACCAGCCAGGCCAACAAGTACTGAAACCTCTTCTCTACTAAAAATACAAAAATTAGCTGGCCTAGTGGTGCATGCCTATGGTCCCAGCTACTAAGGAAGCTGAGGCAGGAGAATCACTTGAACCTGGAGTCGGAGGTCACAGTGAGAGTGGCCTCCCAAAGTGCTAGGTATTATCTTCTTAATGACCATTTATCAACATATAATGTCTTTGTCTTTGTAATCTTTCTGCTCCTCAGACTAGATAATCTCAGTTGATCCATCTTCAAGTTCACTGATTTTCCTGCCTGTTCAAACCTGCTGTTGAACCCCTCTAGTGTATTTTTCATTCCAATTATTATACTCTTCAACTCCAGAATTTCTATATGGCTCCTTTTGGTAATTTCTACCTCTTTATTGATATTTTCTATTGGTAAGACCTTGTTCTCTTGGTTTTCTTTAGTTCTTTGTCCGTGGTTTCCATAGCTCTTTGAGTTTTTATATATATATATATACATACATATATATACATACATATATGTATGTGTATATATATATGTATGTGTATATATATATATTTTTTTTAATTTGATTTAAAGTCTTGAGTAAGTCCAATGTCTGTGCTTCATCAAGGACATTTTCTTTTCTTTTCTTTTTTTTTTTTTTTTTGAGATGGAATTTTGCTCAAGGCTCCGTCTGTTGCCCAGGCTGGAGTGCAATGGCATGATCTTGGCTCACTTCAGCCTCTGCTTCCTGGGTTCAAGCTATTCTCTTGCTTCAGCCTCCCAGGTAGCTGGGATTACAGGCATGTGCCATCACATCCAGCTAATTTTGACCTTTTAGTAGAGATGGAGTTTCTCCATGTTGGTCAGGCTGGTCTTGAACTCCTGACCTCAGGTGATTTGCCTGCCTCAGCCTCCCAAAGTGCTGGGATTATAGGCTCCCAGCCATCAAGGACATTTTCTATTAACTTTTTTTCTGTTAATGGGCCACATTTTTTGTTTGTTTATATGCCTCAAAAGTTTTGCTGAAAACCAGACATTTTAAATATTATAAAGTGATCATTAAAAACTCAGGAAACAGATGCCAGAAAGGATGTGAAGAAATAGGAACTGTTGGTGGAATGTAAATTAATTAAACCATTGTGGAGGACAGTGTGGCAATTCCTCAAGGATCTAGAACTAGAAATACCATTTGACTCAGCAATCCTATTACTGGGTATATACCCAAAGGATCATAAATCATTCTACTATAAAGACACATGCACACATATGTTTACTGCATCACTATTCACAATAGCAAACACTTGGAACCAACCCAAATGTCCATCAATGATACACTGGATAAAGAAAATGTGGCACATATACACCAAGGAATACTACGCAGCCATAAAAAAGGGTGGGTTCATGTCCTTTGCTGGTACATGGATGAAGCTGGAAACCATCATTCTCAGCAAACTAACACAGAAATGGAAAACCAAGCATCACATGTTCTCACTCATAAGTGGGAGCTGAATAATGAAAACACATGGACACAGGGAGGGGAACATCACACACTAAGGCCTGCCAGTGGGTGAGGAACAAGAGATAGCATTAGGAAAAATACCTAATTGCTACACAGATGGCATTTGTCAAAAGTTGTAGATGTCAATGACAGGTTGATGGATGCAGCAAACCACCATGGTACATGTATACCTATGTAACAAACCTGCACGTTTTGCACATGCAACCCAGAATTTAAAGTATAATTTAAAAAATAATAAAATAAATAGGTAGATATTATAATGTAGCGATTCTGGAAATCAGATTATATCCCTTAACCCCCCGAGTTGATTGTTGCTGCTTGTTGTGGTGACTGTATATTTAATGACCTCTCTAAATTTTCTGTCATGTGTGGCCACTTAAGTTTCTGTTCTGTTAGCTTAGTGGTCAGCAAGTGATTTGGTAGATTTAGCACCTGGAACACAATAAAACAAAACATTTCCAAGTCTTTGAAGATTGGTTCTGTGTTGGGGCACTTCAACACTTAGCCAGGTAGTTAGCAGCTGTACTTTACCCTTCACTTCCTGCTTGGGTTCAGCCTGAAGGTTAGTTAGCAGTGACAGCTTGGGTCTTCTAAGGTCTTTCCTGAGCACATGACCAGCCCTGGGCATATGTACAATCTTCTAGATTCCCCAGAGCAGGTGGGAGCTTTTCAGAGACTTTGTGCCCCCAGTATCTCTTTCTCCAGCCTTCATAAGCATTTGGATCTGTCTGCTGCTTGCCCTGACAGTTATCCCTCAATGCAAGCAGAAACAACGAATATATCTGCTTTTTAATACTTTTGACAAATGCCACCTGTGTAGCTGCCTCAGCCCTGGGACATATCAGAGACAGGCAAAACAAAGCCAAGCCCTTGAGACAATCTTTCAGGATCTATCAAACAGATCAAAATACACAACCGCTGGGCGCGGTGGCTCACGCCTGTAATCCCAGCACTTTGGGAGGCCGAGGCGGGTGGATCACAAGGTCAAGAGATCGAGACCATCCTGGTCAACATGGTGAAACCCCGTCTCTACTAAAAATACAAAAAAAATCAGCTGGGCATGGTGGCACGTGCCTGTAATCCCAGCTACTCAGGAGGCTGAGGCAGGAGAATTGCCTGAACCCAGGAGGCGGAGGCTGCGGTGAGCCGAGATCACGTCATTGTACTCCAGCCTGGGTAACAAGAGCGAAACTCCGTCTCAACCTCCAAAAAAGCAAGAATTACACAACCATGATGCTTTCAAAATAAAGTCCACACTCCTCTCTTAAGTACCTCAAGCACACTGCACAGGAACACCAGCTGTTGTCTTCAAAGCAGCTACTGGACTGGGGGTTGAGGATGGTAATAGGGTAGGATCACAGAGCTCTCTTAACAAAATTCAGTTTTTTTCTTCATTAAGCATTCCCTTGCTAAAAGTTTTTATTAGATCCCAGAGTTCTGAATAAGCTGATTCTGACCGTTTTTGCCAGCTTGGGGTGTGTGTGTGTGTGTGTGGGTGGGTGGGTGTGTGTGTGGGTGGGTGGGTGTGGGGGGGGGGGGTGTGTGTGTGGGGGTGTGTGTGTGTGTAGGGATGGAGTTTGGGAGTTTGCTGGTCCTCTTTCTTACGGGGGATTATGTCATAGTCCCAAACACAGCTTTACCAATCACCATCACTTTATCAATCACTAAAAACGGCCTCTTGTTCCTAGACCATTCACAAATGTTCTTAAATAATAAGCGATCACTGTTGAATATAAGATGTTGCTGCTTTTTAAGGAGATCACAATTCTATGAGAAGAGACTATCTTTAGGGAGTAAAGATTTCTTCTTTTCTTTTTGTTTCTTTTTTCTGTGTTTTTGTTGTTGTTGTTGTTGTTGTTTTGGGGGGGGATTGTTTTTGGTTTTGGTGGGTTTTTTTGAGACAGAGTTTCACTCTTGTTGCCCAGGCTGGATTGCAGTGGGGCAAGGGGGTGATCTCAGCTCACTGCAACCTCCACCTCCTGGGTTCAAGCAATTCTCCTGTCTCAGCCTCTCAAGCAGCTGAAATTACAGGTATGCACCACAACGCCTGGCTAATTTTATATTTTTAGTAAGGATGGGGTTTTACTATGTTGGTCAGGCTGGTCTCAAACTTCTGACCTCAAGTGATCCACCCACCTCAGCCTCCCAAAGTGCTGGGATTATAGGTGTGAGCCACCACGTCTGGCCTTCTTCTTTTCATGTGCATTTAAGCCAAGTGGTTTTGTTACAAATATCTTTTTTTTTTTTTTGAGATGGAGTTTCGCTCTTGTCACCCAGGCTGGAGTGCAATGGCGCGATCTCGGCTCACCACAACCTCCACCTCCTGGGTTCAGGCAATTCTCCTGCCTCAGCCTCCTGAGTAGCTGGGACTACAGACACGCGCCACCATGCCAGCTAATTTTTTGTAGTTTTAGTAGAGACGGGGTTTCACCATGTTGACCAGGATGGTCTCGATCTCTTGACCTCATGAGCCACCCGCCTCAGACTTCCACAGTGCTGGGATTACAGGCTTGAGCCACCGCGCCCGGCCTACAAATATCTTAAAAATGATTCCCACACCTCGAAACCTGTTTCTTAAAAAAATTGTATTTTCTTAGTTTTCCATTATCTCTTCCATTTTTTCCCGACCAGCCAAAAAATACAACATGTATCTTGAGATGTATCTCAACATATTTTTGGCTCTTTAATCAAGGAATACTACTAGTATGCCACTAGAAAAAAAAACAAACACAAACTGGAAAAGTGACTTGCTACAAGTCACTTGAAAACTCTCTTCAATTTCCATACCACAGTCTCCTGGCTTCATCTCTCTTCTGCTTCTCCTAGAAAAATTCCTTTTGCTTGGACTTATTCACCAACTTCAGTGCCACAGATGTATTAATGTGAAGGGCCTCACAACTGTTCACAGGGAGCTTACCATGTGATGATGTGTCATGGTGGGACCACTGAAGATAACAAAGAATTAAGCCTTAAATTCATTGGCCAGGCACGGTGACTCACACCTGTAATCCCAGCACTCTGGGAGGCCGAGGTGAGTGGATTACTTGAGGTCAGGAGTTCAAGACCAGTCTGGCCAACATGGCAAAACTCTGTCTCTACTAAAAATACAAAATTACCCAGGCGTGGTGGCGCATGCCTGTAAGTCTAGCTACTCGGGAGGCTGAGGCAGAAGAATTGCTTGAACCCTGGAGGGAGATGGTACACTAGGCCAAGATCACACCACTGCACTCCAGTCTGGGCAACAGAGTGAGACTCCATCTCAAAAAAAAAAAAAGAAAAAAAATCACTGCTATGATCTGAATGTCTGTGCTCCCCCAAAATCTGTATGTCGAAATTCTAACCCCTAAACTGATGCTATTTGGAGATGGGGCCTTTTGGGAGGTGATTAAGTCATGAAGGCAGGCCCCTCACAAATGGGATAAATGCCCTTATAAAATAGGCCCAAGGACATAGCAAGAATATATCATCTATGAACCAGTAAATGGATCCTCATGAGACAATGAATCTGCCTTGACTGTAGACTTTCTGGCCTCTACAAATGTGAGAAATAAATTTCTGCTGTTTATAAGCCACCCAGCCTCTGGTATTTTGTTATAGCAGCCTGTATGGACTAAGAAATGAATACTGATTTATAGAAGCAACTGACCAAGTAACTTCATACCTCGTTTTCTGACATCATCCCTGGAGTAAGCTGAGGACCTGTCCCTAAGGAAATGACCAACACCTCTTCTGGTTGCACCTCCTGGATGGTTTCTTGAGATGATCCTTCATGGTCCATATGTAGGTCCATTAGCATATTGGTGCGGCTTCTGCTCCGAGTTGCTAATAAAAAATTTCAAATAAAATAATTTAGAGAAATAGACAAATGAAGAAAATGGGATGCTAAATATGAAAATAGATTTTCTATTAGTGCAGAACATTTGCACATGCACAAAACAATAGTGGTGAAAATATAAATAAGAAAAAACAAAACAAAAAACAAGATCCTCCAAGTTACACTACTAATAAAGATTCTCCTTCAAAACTGATAATCAAGAACAGTGATCCAAGTCCATGTGACAGGAACTGCCACATAGATGATCACATCTGCAGAACAGCAAACATGTCCCAATCAATTTAAGATTTGGAGTGACATTTCTTATCTTTTTAAGATACTTTAACTATTTCTCCTATAAAATGATGTAACTGCTACAGATCTACCATACTAATAACTGAACTTCCTCTTTCAGGAGTTGAGACCAGCCTGGCCAACACGGTGAAACCCCATCTCTACTAAAAATACAAAAAATTAGCCAGGTGTGGTGGCAGGCACCTGTAATCCCAACTACCTGGGAGGCTGAGGCAGGAGAATCACTTAACCCAGGAGGCGGAGGTTGCAGTGAGCCAAAATTGCACCCTTGCACTCTGGCCTGGGTTACAGAGTGAGACACCATCTCCAAAAAGAAAAGAAAAAGAAAAAGAAAAGTTTCTATTTTATTTCAGAGGGCAATAAAATTCAGTACAACCAGAATACTAAATAGAAATTATCTTTTGGTGCAAAATAATAAAAAATACAGACATAAAGCAAAAACAACTTGTAGCAGCAAAAGTCAACTTCATGTTGTATAAAAGCTGACTACTTCAAGACAGGAAGAGGCAGAAATATAAACAATCATCTTTCTTTACAATACTGATTAATGTTCATTAATCACTTTTAGTCTGAAAATTCAGAGCACACAATTTCCAAGTCTAAAATAGGCCTATTCATCTCTTTATTTGCTATCTTCTACTGAGTTGAAAATTTAAATTCAAGCTCATGAATAGATCTACGAATCTTTAGTAACAAACTCTTATTATTTTTTTGTTGTTGTTAAGAGACAGGGTTTCACCGTGTTGCCCAGGCTGGTCTCAAACTCTTGAGCTCAGACAATCCATCCACCTCGGCCTCCCAAAGTGTTAGGATTACAGGTGTGAGCCACTGTGCCCAGCAACAAACTCTTAAATTTATAAAAATGCAAGTCATGAAATTTTATGTAGCAATTTACATAAAGTAAAGCAACATGCACATGAAACATACTTTTATAAACTACTTCTTAAGTAAAATTATAAAAGAAAAGGAAGAACAGCCTATTACCCACCAAACGGGGTTACTAGTGTAATATGAGCAGTAATATTGGTAGCTGAGGAATCCCAAGCAGTGATGGCTGCTAACTGTTGTCCTGGGTTGCCAAAGCATTAAATAGAAAGAAAATCAACCCTCTGAACAATGGACACACTTTTAAAAATACAAAATAAATACAATAGCCAGGTAACATGACTATACAAAATAATACTGGGCATACATTTGAAATTCATTTTCCATCAGACTCATATTTAATGACACTTTCAGATAATGGGAAATGAAAAAAACTAACGTATAGCAGTGAATAAAGGAAAAATCTCTGATTTACTAAAAATCATTTACTTCATCATGAGAACAGAGTGCACACAGCCCCTAATATTAAAAACCATTAAGTGGCCAGGTGTGGCGGCTCACACCTGTAATCCCAGCACTTTGGGAGGCCAAGGTGGGTGGATCACCTGAGGTCAGGAATTCAAGACCGACCTGGCCAACAAAGCAAAACCCCATCTCTACTAAAAATACAAAAACTAGCCAGGCATGGTGACAGGTACCTGTAATCCCAGCTATTGGGGAGGCTGAGGCAGAATTGCTTGAACTCGGGAGGCAGAGATTGCAGTGAGCCGAGATCGAGTCACTGCACTCCAGCCTGGGCAACAAGAGTGAGACTCTATCTCAAAAAAAAAAAAAAACTATTAAGTGCAAAACTCCTTTTTTATTTTAATTTTGAAAACTGACATAATGGGATGATGCAGTTAAGACAAAGACTTGAAGAGTAAAATGCCACACTCCTGTTGATGATACAATTTCACATTATGTTAAATATAAGGTAGAGGCCAGGTGTAGCGGATCACACCTGTAATCCCAGTGCTCTGAGGGCCGAGGGGGCCAGATCACGAGGTCAGGAGTTCGAGACCATCCTGGCCAACATGGTGAAACCCCATCTTTTCCAAATATATAAAAAATTAGCCCGGCGTGGTGGCAGTTGCCTGTACTCCCAGCTACTTGGGAGGCTGAGGCAGGAGAATCACTTGAACCCGGGAGGCGGAGGTTGCAGTGAGCCAAGGCCATGCCACTGCACTCCAGTCTGAGCAACAGAGCAAGACTCCATCTCAAAAAACAAACAAACAAACAAACGAATATAAGGTAGACAATTTTAAGAAACTAGCAGTTCTTAACAAATCAGCTCAAGAAGTTTAAAAGTAAAATCCCTCTCTTCAAAATGCATAAATTAAAAAGAACTATGTTCACTAAGTGTTGCTGAGTTCCTCATTATAATTAGGCAGGCACTAAAATACTCCTGTTCCCTGCCCTAAACGATTTCGCCCTGTCTTACTTTGTCTAACTCCCACTTATCCTTCAACACAAAGTGCAAGCCAGCTTCACCTGCTCCAAGACCTTCTCCTAATACCACCACCATTTGGCTAAGTTAGCTGTCCCCATAACCCTTGTACCTATCTCCTCAGAACACTTAGTATGCTGAAAGATACTAATCTCCTCTTATTCTCCCTAACTAAGCTATCAACAGCCAACTTGACAGTAAGGGCAAGTCCTAATGGTCTTTGCATCCAGTGTCTATCACAGTGCCTCATGTGCAAGACACATCCACTCTCACGGGACTTTTGTGTGGATTAAATGAAACATTTATAAAGTGCCTACTCAGTGTCTGGAACATGGTATATGCTCAATTAATTTTTTTGTAGCTAGATAGATAACAAATATTAACCAAGCAAATAAAGCTACATTAAATAGAATTTTTTTTTTTTTTTGAGACGGAGTTTCACTCTTGTTACCCAGGCTGGAGTGCAATGGCGCGATCTCGGCTCACCGCAACCTCCGCCTCCTGGGTTCAGGCAATTCTCCTGCCTCAGCCTCCTGAGTAGCTGGGATTACAGGCACGCACCACCATGCCCAGCTAATGTTTTTTGTATTTTTAGTAGAGACGGGGTTTCACCATGTTGACCAGGATGGCCTCGATCTCTTGACCTCGTGATCCACCTGCCTCGGCCTCCCAAAGTGCTGGGATTACAGGCTTGAGCCACCGTGCCCGGCCTAAATAGAATTCTTAAACAAACTTTAAAAAATAAAATGAAACTTTTGCTTTATTTTATAACATTAAGGTATCTTAGCTCAGTTGATAAAAAAAATTAATGAAAACAATAATAGAAAAATAGTAACTATTATTTTCCACTTTATCGATGGAAAATTCTAAAATAATAGTTTATTATATTATTTAGAACTTTGTAGAAAGGAGGGGGCTACATAATTTTTTTTTGAAACAGGGTCTCATTCTGTCACCCAGGCTGAAGTGCAGTGGCACGATCATGCTTCACTACAGCCTCGACCTTCCAGGCTCAACCAATCTCTCCATCTCAGCCTTCCACGTAGCTGGGACCACAGGCACATGCCACCGCACCCGGCTGAGAGGGCTACATAATTTTTAAAATGACTACTTATAGGCCAGGCGCAGTGGCTCACAGCTGTAATTCTAGCACTTTGGGAGGCTGAGGCAAGTGAATCTCCTGAGGTCGGGAGTTCAAGACCAGCCTGACCAACATGGAAAAACCCTGCCTCTACTGAAAATACAAAATGAGCCAGGTGTGGTGGTGCATGCCTATAATCTCAGCTACTCGGGAGGCTGGGACAGGAGACTCTCTTGAACCCAGGAGACAGAGGCTGTGGTCAATGGAGATGGTGCCATTGCACTCCATCCTGAGCAACAAGAGTGAAACTGTGTCTCAAAAAAAAAAAAAAAAAAAAAATGGGGCTGGGCATGGTGGCTCACGCCTGTAATCCAAGCACTTTGGAGGCCAAAGTGGGCGGATCACCTGAGGTCAGGAGTTCAAGACCAGCCTGACCAACATGGTGAAACCATCTTTAAAAAAGAAAAAGTAAAAAAAAGAAAAATGACTACTTAAAACACTTCCAAAATTTTTTCAAGAAAAAACAATAAAATTTAAACAAACTATACTCTGGATAGCATGACTTCAATTAATTATGAAAAGTAAGTAGACAAAGCTAAAGCCTACTGGGTAAACGTTAACTAATCTGATGTGATTTCTAAAAATTGAAATACCATCAGTTAACATGAAGAGAAAGACTTTCTCAAGTATTTAAACATATATTCCAAAACACTGAGCAATAACAAAGGCTAAGGAAATACTAAATTTAAGGGAAAGCTCTGATATGATAAACTCTCTTTACCTATAGGTAATCGATTCTTTTTATTTGCTGGAGTGGTTGCTGGAGACAGTTGAGGTGTATTGTATGGAGTCATTTCTAAACTGCTGCTTTTTCCTGGTTTGGCCGGGGGTAGGTTTGCCAATAAATTGTCAAGAGCCATTCTATCTTCTCTCAGTTGATCTCCAGACATCACACTCTTCATAAAATTCACCTGACAAAAGCAAAGAACATTAGCTAATGAAATCATTTTTTCAAATACAATATGTATTTCTCACACAATGTACTCACGTATGTCTCTGCTCACACTTAGCTAAAAGACTTTTGAGAGAATCATATTAAACAATGAAGCCATTACCAGAGTAATAAGCTGACTGTAGGTTATATAAACCACAGTTCTGCTCAATCCTTCCAGAAGATTAACAGAAGACAATGGAGGGGTCTCCACAGCACGGCCCCCAATCACAACATCAAGGAAAGCAGCAACACAGCTCTGTTAAAACAGGAAAACAACAGTGAAACATCTCCCCTTTAAACTACTGGAACAAAATTTCTCATTAAGGTGGACAAGCATGAAAAAATTTTAACATCTTAAAAATTCTGTTTTTTTGGCCGGGCGCAGTGGCTCACGCCTGTAATCCTAGCACTTTGGGAGGCCGAGGTGGGTGGATCACCTGAGGTCAGGAGTTCAAGAACAGCCTGGCCATCATGGTGAAACCCCATCTTTAAAAAAAAAAAAAAAAAAATTCCTATGTTTTTAAGATGTTAAACAAATCAATTTTTTTTTGAGACGAAGTTTCACTCTTTGGCCCAAGCTGGAGTAGAACGGCGCCATCTCAGCTCACTACAACCTCCATCCCCCAACACCCCCTTTCCACCCATTAAAGTGATTCTCCTGCCTCAGCCTCCCAAGTAGCTGTGATTACAGGTGTCACCACCATGCCCGGCTAATTTGTGTATTTTTAGTAGAGATGGGGTTTCGCCATGTTAGACGGGCTGGTCTCCAACTCCTGACCTCAGGTGATCCACCCGCCTTGGCATCCCAAAGTGCTAGAATTATAGATGTAAGCCACCCCGTCCAGCCTAATTGTTGTATTTTTTTGTAGACATGGGGTTTTACCATGTTGCCCAGACTGGTCTCAACCTTCTGAGCTCAAATGATCCACCCACCTTAGCTTCCCAAAGTGCATATAGCACTAGGATTACCAGAATGAGCCAATGCGCCCCACCTAAAAAATTAAACTTTTTTTGTACTGATACTAGACTAAGATCTTGAAGCTGGGTGCGGTGGTGCACGCCTGCAAACCCAGCACTTTGGGAGGGCAAAGAGAGGCGGATTGCTTGAGCTCAGAAGTTCACAACACTTGGGCGACATGGAAAAACCTTGTCTCTATAAAAAATACAAACATTAGCCAGTCGTGGTGATGCACACCCATAGCCCCAGCTACTTGGGAAGCTGAGGTAGGAAGACTGCTTGCACCAGGGAGGTTAAGGCTGTAGTGAGCTCAGATGGCATCAGTGCACTGCAGCCTGGGTGACAAAGTAAGACCCTGTCTCAAAAAAAAGGAAATAAAGTAAGATCTTGGAGACAAACATAACATGACACAGACATAACAGTAACATTGTGTTACTATTTCTAAAAGGGGAAGGATGGGGTGGATGGAAGTACACGGTATACGTAGGAATTTGCTTGTAGGATACACAAAAGCCTGGTAACATCAAGAATCTTTTGGGGGCCAGGCATGGTGGCTCACGCCTCTAATCTCAGCACTCAGAGGCTGAGGCAGGAGAATTGCTTGAACCTGGGAGGTGGAGGTTACACTAAGCGAGATTACATCATTGCACTCCAGTCTAGGTGACAAGAGTGAACCTCCATGAAAAGAGCAAAGCTCCGTCTCAAAAAAAAAAAAAAATGAATCTTTTGTGGGGGCAGGGAATAATGAAGATTAGAGATAAGAGGTGGAAAAGGAATTTTACTGAAATATCCTTGAATTGGGCCAGGTGCGGTGGCTCACGCCTGTAATCCTAGCACTCCGGGAGGCTGAGGCGGTAGATTACGAGGTCAGGAGATCAAGACCATCCTGGCCAACATGGTGAAACCCTGTCTCTACTAAAAATACAAAAATGAGCTGGGCATGATGGCAGGCGCCTGTAGTCCTAGCTACTCAGGAGGCTGAGGCAGGAAAATCGCTTGAACCCGGGAGGCAGAGGTTTCAGTGAGCTGAGACTGAGCCACTGCACTCCAGCCTGGGCGACAGAGCAAGGCTCCAGCTCAAAAAAAAAAAAAAAAAAGCCAGACGCGGTACCTCACACCTATAATCCCAGCACTTTGGGAGGCCAAAGCATGCGGATCACAAGGTCAGGAGTTGGAGACCAGCCTGACTAACATGGTGAAACCCTGTCTCCACTAAAAATAAAAAATTAGCCAGGCATGGTAGCACACACCTGTAACCCCAGCTACTAGGGAGGCTGAGGCAAGAGTATCGCTTGAACTCAGGAGGTTGCAGTGAGCCAAAATCATGCCACTGCACTCCAGCCTGGGCGACAGAGGGAAACTCCGTCTCAAAAAAAAAAAAGAAAAAAGAAATATCCTTGAATTTTCATAGGTTGAATGGATACCTACTCAAGGTAAGACTGATTAAAATTTTATTTAACTAAATTAATTGAACAATGTCATGGATGTTAACTTATAAACTACACTTAAAATTAAACAATTATCGACTAGGCATGGTGGCTGACATCTATAATCCTAGCATGCTGGAATGCTGAGGCAGCAGGATCGCTTGAGGCCAGGAGTTCGAGATCAGTCTGGGCAACACAGCAAGAGCTCATCTCTACATCAATAAAAACCGGGCGTGGCGATGTGCCCCTGCAGCCCAGCTACTTGGGAGGCTGAGGTGGAAAGACTGCTTGAGCCCAGGAGTTTGAGCCATAATCATACCACTGCACTCCAGCCTGGGCAACACAGTGAGACATTGACTCAAAAATTTAAAAGTTATACAACTATTGCTGATTCATGTTTCTATGGATTTCAAAGTTATACAACTATTTTAAAAATTTAAAAGTTATACAACTACTTTGGATTCATATTTCTATGGATTTAATCCAGTGACAATTTTTTAAAAATAAACTTTTTGAAATAAAATAATCTTAATAGCTCTGATTCTCTTTATGTGGCGTCTGTGGGAGTCAATCATCTTTAATGACATCTTTTCTTTTTCTTTTTCTTTTTTTATTTTTTTTAAGATGGGGTTTCACCATGATGGCCAGGCTGGTCTTGAACTCCTGACCTCAGGTGATCCATCCACCTTGGCCTCCCAAAGTGCTAGGATTACAGGCATGAGCCACCGCACCCAGCCAATAACATCTTTTCAATGCTGCTGATCCAATACTGTAGCTAATTAAAAGAACATTTAACTCAGATATCACCTAAGGACAAGATTTAATAAAGAGAGCAGTTAGGCTCACTAATACTTCAGCAGAGTTTTCTATAAACTGTATTTATTCTTACTTTGTCAAATTTTCCAAGGCTGCTCTTTGTTCGGGGATCTCCCTCTTCAGAGCCAGTCATTGCTAACTGCTGCAAAAGGCGGCCCACCTGCAACCCAAAGCAGTGGTAGGGACAAATAAGCTATAGACAGATACTCACAAATTCCTCTTAATGAAAGCAACCATGTCTATTCTTTTCTAAAAATCTGTTTCATAATACTATCCATTCCACCTGACCAGGCATATGAAATAGTATCACTAATAAAATGCATACCTTATATCAGCTTTTACTATTTTTAGATTGAGAGTTATAGACAGAATGTAGAATTTTTTGCTTTAATTTCTCTTTAACACATAAGATATCAACAACAGCAAGAAAAAAAGTACAGGTTGGGCGTGGTGGCTCACACCTGTAATGCCAACACTTTGGGAAACCGAGGTGGGTGGATCACCTGAGGTCAGGAGTTCAAGACCGGCCTGGCCAACATGGCGAAACCCCATCTTTACTAAAAATACAAAAATTAGTTAGGCATGGTGGCACAGGCCTGTGGTCCTAGTTACTCGGGAGGCTGAGGCAGGAGAATCACTTGAACCTGGGAAGAAGGGGTTGCAGCGAGCCGAGATCGAGCCACTGCGCTCCAGCCTAGGTAACAGAGCAAGACTCCATCTCAAAAAAAAAAAAAAAAAAGTACAATACATTTGTTTCTGATATTTTACTTTTCATGTGTTTAGAGCCTGACTCATAAATTACCTCAAGTTAATATTAACAACATTACCCTAGAGAGTTCACAAAGCACTCAAGGCAGAATTTTTTTTCCTAGATTTAGAAGCAAATGATTTCTATGGAACACTAGCTGGTTTAGTGAAGTAAATACTAATACATAGAAAAAGTACCTTACTGGCAAAAGTAAGTTGTTACTGTACTCTCTTTAAAGGCTGATGATGAAAGCCATTACAGCATCCTCTTCTTAATATCTGGGACAAGCCCCCTTTTCGCTATTTTGAAAACATGTAATTCAATCTCTACTGGAATTACAAAAAATAAAACTGCAAATACATTACCTACCATAAGAATAAATTTGGTGTTTCATGGGCTGTGAGGCACAGTGCCTCACACCCATAATGCCAGCACTTTGAAAAGTCAAGGTGGGAGGATTACGAGGCCAGGAGTTCCAGACCAGCCTGGGCAACACACCAAGACCCTGTCTCTACAAAAACATGTTTTAGACGGGCGCGGTGGGTCACGCTTGTAATCCCAGCACTTTGGGAGGCCGAGGCGGGTGGATCACGAGGTCAAGAGATCAAGACCATCCTGGTCAACATGGTGAAACCCCGCCTCTACTAAAACTACAAAAAATTAGCTGGGAATGGTGGCGCGTGCCTGTAATCCCAGCTACTCAGGAGGCTGAGGCAGGAGAATTGCTTGAACCCAGGAGGCGGAGGTTGCAGTGAGCCGAGATTGTGCCATTGCACTCCAGCCTGGGTAACAAGAGCGAAACTCCGTCTCAAAAAAAAAAAACAAAAAAAAAAAAAACCATGTTTTAAATGAGCCAGGTGTGGTGGTATACACCTACAGTTCCAGCTACTCAGGAGGGTGAGGCAGGAAGGTCACTTGAGCCCAGGAGTTCAAAGGCTACAGTGAGCTAAGATGGCACTACTGCAGTACAGCCTGGGTAAGAGAGTAAGACTCTGTCTCAAAAAAAAAGAAAAAATTAGTTTCAGGGATGATAAGGTGTTAAAAATCTTGTGCTTGCTTCAGCAGCACATATACTGAAACTGGAACTCTACGAGAGAAGATTTGCATGGCCCCTGTGCAAGGATGACACACAAATTTGTGAAGAGTTCCATACTATAGATTTTTTAATTTAGAAAATGTTTTAAATAAAAGTTAAATTTAGGCCGGGCGCGGTGGCTCAAGCCTGTAATCCCAGCACTTTGGGAGGCTGAGGCGGGTGGATCACGAGGTCAAGAGATCGAGACCATCCTGGTCAGCACGGTGAAACCCCGTCTCTACTAAAAATGCAAAAAATTAGCTGGGCATGGTGGTGCGTGCCTGTAATCCCAGCTACTCAGGAGGCTGAGGCAGGAGAATTGCCTGAACCCAGGAGGCGGAGGTTGAGGTGAGCCGAGATCGCGCCATTGCACTCCAGCCTGGGTAACAAGACCGAAACTCCGTCCCAAAAAAAAAAAAAAAAAAAGTTAAATTTTATTTCAGGCATTTCTATATAGTAAATTGCTAAACATCCCAAGGTGATATAACTGATCATAAAAAAAAGAGTTAATCATTTTTTTGGATTTAAAAAAAATTTTTTTTTTTGAGGCGGAGTTTCGCTCTTATTGCCCAGGCTGGAGTGCAATAGTGCGATCTCAGCTCACTGCAACCTCCTCCACCCAGGTTCAAGCAATTCACCTGCCTCAGCCTCCCGAGTAGCTGGGATTATAGGCAGGCGGCACCACGCCCGGCTAATTTTGTATTATTAGTAGAGACAGGGTTTCTCCATGTTGGTCAAGCTGGTCTCAAACTCCCGACCTCAGGAGATCCGCCCACCTCAGCTTCCCAAAGTGCTGGGATTACAGGTATGAGCCACCACACACAGCCAATTTTTTCTCTTTTTTAATAGACACAGGGCAGGGGGGTCTATGTTGCCAAAGCTGGTTTGGAACTCCTGGCCTCAAACGATCTGCCCACCTTGGACTCCCAAAGTGCTAGGATTACGGGTGACAGCCACTACACCCAGCCTGAGTTAATCATTTTCTAAAAAGCACCCAAAAATAGTCTTTTGTGAATAAATCCAAGTTCTTCACAGTATATCTGAGGGATATGATTAAAAGAGTTCATGAAGGAATAATAACCTGAGTCAGTCATTCAGATGATTGGAAAAAAGTGCTAATATAGATCCAAAAATCCTCTTTCTGAAACTCTTCTAGAAAAGTCTCAGATTTCAGAATTTAGAGACTTTAGAAAGGTAATATAGTGCATATATACAATATGTTCAATATATAGATGGCATTTTGTAATCAAATGCATTAAGATTTCTGCAACAAAACATGAGTATTCACTAGCACTAAATGGAATAACAATTATAAATATAGCCAGGCCTGGTGACGGGTGACTGTAATCTCAGCTACTCGGTAAGCTAAGGCGGGAGAATCACTTGAACCCAGGAGGCGGAGGTTGCAGTGAGCCAAGATTGCACCATTGCACTCCAGCCTAGGCAACAAGAGTGAAACTCCGTCTCAAAAAAAAAAAAAAAGGCCCAGGACGGTGGCTCAAGCCTGTAATCCCAGCACTTTGGGAGGCTGAGGTGGGCAGATCACAAGGTCAGGAGATTGAGACTATCCTGGCCAACATGGTAAAACCCCGTCTCTACTAAAAATACAAAAAATTAACTGAGCATGGTGGCACGCACCTATAGTCCCAACTAATAAGGAGGCTGAGGCAGGGGAATCGCTTGAACCCACTGCACTCCAGCCTGATGACAGAGCGAGACTCTGTCTCAAAAAAATAAATAAATAAAAATTTAAATAAAAAAAATTGTGAATAGCCTCATGTTAGTTCAGCATAGGTTTTGCTACCAAATGAAGTATAGAAGACACTCAGTTTTTATTCATTTTGGGTTCTGAAATTATAGAACAACAATGGTGGACGTGTTCTAGAAAAATTTAATCAACTCTATATTCAAGCGTGTGAGGATTCCATTTAAAAACAAACACAAAATGTTTTGTGACTGCAATAATTTTAAATCCCAGTATTATTGCTTTTATATACTAAGATGCAAATATTTAGGACTGGTTGAGAAAAAGTAGTAAGAATGTATCAATTGTCACCATATTATTTGTTCCCACCCCCACAGCTTAATCAACTGATTTTAAATGCCACATTCATGAAAACAGCAAAAGCATACCTGCATCAGATTAAATCGTGCCACCTCATTAATAGGAGCATCGGAAATTATTCCATACTGTTCTGGATTGACAACTGCAGGACAAATGAAGCAGGCCAGTAGGAGATCAGTACACATTGCCCTGACCTCCCCAACTTCCAACCTATCTACACAGGAAAGGGTTTTGTACATCTGAGATACGATCCACCTTAAACTATGTGGAAAACAATATGTGTTCTGTTTGAGATAACCAATAAATTTGTTCACCAAAGCCACTAGTTTGGCTTCATTGGACTCCACCATTTCTTGAACTTTTTGCCTGAATCTATCTGAGCCCTTCTCTCCAAAGAGTTTTTCCTGCTGAGATGGGGAGAACCTCTCAATTAGCTTATTTGGATCTGTTTCCAGGTGATCTTCATCTTCAACAAGCAGTTGCATAATTGGCTCATGTAAAGTGGCTGTGAGGAAAAGTTTGGCAGAAAACAGTCCTTCAGAAAAAAGTTTAAATAAGATGCTGAAGGCACAAGTTCCTCTCCTCAAAAGTCGCCTAGGGTTGTCACTTTCTTTAAGTTCAAATTCAATCAAGTATCGCAAAACCTGAAGGAGGTAGCTTTCATCTTCTTGCATGATGCAATTGCCGTACAGGGAGGTAAAAACTGTGTAAATAACACTTTGTGTATTCTCCTGATTAAGTTTCTCTCCAGCAACCAAAGAGGAGGCAATAAGACGAGGATTTTCTCTCAATCGACTCAAGAATTCTCCATAAGCAGTCTCCTGAAATCCCAATTGTTTATACCCATCAACAAATTGTGTATCTTCCAAAATCTTGGCATGTTGGCAACATTCAGCAGGGGAAGCTTCAGCACTAAAAAAAATGAGCAAACAAGCAAAATAATAGTATTAATAATAATAACACATACACTATATCCAAACATGGATATGTGAGTTGATTATAGTCCCAACAATGAGGTCACTCTGAACTGCTAAAATTTTTTTAAACCAATAGCATCTCAATAAGTAAAGGAAGACAAAACTAAAAAGTACAAAGGACAATTTCCTCATATCAAATCAGGATCAATCAAAAGTATCAGAGCTGAATACTGTGGCTCAAGCCTGTAATCCCAGCACTTTGGGAGGCCAACACGGGCAGACCACTTGAGGCCAGGAGGTCGAGACCAGCTGGGACAACATGGCGTAACTCTCATCTCTTCTAAAAATATAAAAATTAGCCAGGCATGGTGGTAGGCACCTATAATCCCAGCTACTTAGAAGGTTGAGGCAGGAGAATCACTTGAACCCAGAAGGCAAAGGTTGCAGTGACCTGAGATCATGCCACTGCACGCCAGCCTGGGCAACAGAGCAAGACTCTGTCTGCAGGAAAAAAAAAAAAGAAAGAAAATTATCAGTGTGTACATCCTAACAACTATTGTCAAGAGCTGCACTCTTATGGACTAAATTAAAATTAGCTACAGGCCACAGTGGCTCACACATGTAATCCCAGTACTTTGGGAGGTCAAGGTAGGAAGATTACTTGAACCCAGGAGTTCGAGACCAGCCTGGAAAACATGATGAAACCTCATCTCTACAAAAAAAATACAAAAAAAGAATTGGTAAAATACAACTATATTTAACTGAAAAAAAAAAAAATACAAAAAAGTAGCTAGATGTGGTGGCATGTGCCTGTAGTTCCAGCACTCAGGAGGCTAAGGTGGGGGAACTGCTTGAGGTCAGGGGGTTGAAACAGCAGTGACCCAAGCACCATTGCATTCCAGCCTCGGCAACAGAGCCAGATCCTGTCTGGGGAAAAAAAAAATCAGCTACAGTTAAACTGCTTATTCACAGACATAAGAAAGTTTATAAATATTCAAGTACTAAAAAATAATAAAAATGGCCGGGCGCTGTGACTCACGCCTGTAATCCCAGCACTTTGGGAGGCTGAGGCAAGCAGATCACAAGCTCAGGAGTTTGAGACCAGCCTGGCCAATATGGTGAAACCCCAATCTCCACTAAAAATAAAAATATTAGCCAGGTATGGTGGTAGGTGCCTATAGTCCCAGCTACTCAGGAGGATAAGGCAAGATAATTGTTTGAACCCAAGAGGCAGAGGTTGCACTGAGCCAAGGTCGTCCCACTGCACTCCACCCTGTGCAACAGAGCGAGACTCCATCATTCATTCATTCATTCATAAATAAATAAATATTTAAAATAATAATAAAAGTAAAAATAAAGTCCATATGGGCATATTGCTCAACCTTTCTCAATAGCAACATGCCAGTATGTAACGACCTGCAGAATCACATCGTTTAACCAGGCTTTTTGCTTGTGGAAACAAATCCAAATGAAATAAGCCTAAAAGATGGGGGGAAAAAACACAATGCCCACAGCAGCACTGTTCTTTTTTTTTTTTTAACTTATTTTTATTGAGGTAAAATACAGTAAAGTGCATAAATATCAAGCATTCACCTTAAACAATTTTTGTACATACATGCACCCAGTAATCTCAGATTAAGATATCGAACATTTTAAATACCCCAGAATGCTTCCACATGCCCTTTCCCAATCAATACCACCCTCTCAAGCCCAACAAGGAAACATTATTCTGATTTCTGTTATCAAAGATCAGTCCTGCCTCTTTTTGAACTTCATACAAATAGAATTATACATAATGTATTCTTCTGAGTCTGGCTTATAATCTCAACAGCACTAATATTCTTACAGTTATTCTTACTGTTCTTCTGGCTGGGCGCGGTGGCTCATGCCTGTAAAGCTAGCACTTTGGGAAGCCAAGGAGGGTGGATTGCCTGAGCTCAGGAGTTCGAAACCAGCCTGGGGAGCACGATGAAACCCCGTTTCTACTAAAAATATAAAAAATTAGCTGAGCATGGCAGCATGCACCTGTAATCCCAGCTACTCCGGAAGCTGAGACAGGAGAATTGCCTGAACCCAGGGGGTAGAGGTTGCAGTGAGCCGAGATCACACCATCACATTCCAGCCTGGGCAACAGAGAGAGACTCAGTCTCAAAAAAAAAAAAAAATTGTTCTTCTTAGGTATTAGCACAATAAAATATGTGGTTTCTAAACCTGAAAAATAGCTATATAATATCAAAACAAGAAAACCTATAAATTAAATAACATTAGGAGAAAAGCAGAACAGATAATTTATTCGCTACAACAATAACATTTTATATAGACAAAGACAAAACCAATTGGTGTGATATAAAATGTCAAGGCCTAAGTTATAATTTTCTATAGCAGTGCCTAAGTTAATAATCAAAATAAACTGTATTTATAATACAAAAACTCACCTTAACATTGATTTAAATTATCTTAAACCATGTACTTTGTTGGAAACAGATTCATTTATTTACACCTATTAATTTATTTACAGAATAGTAGTGGTTCACAGAATTTAACACCTGGAAATCATTTCTTTACCTGGTTATGATAAGCCGATCCAAATTGATTCTCTGTTGCTTCGCAATCCAAGCTGTACGATACAACTTTTCAGCTGTCTTAAGTACATCTGCATTGAGCCTCTGAATGAGCTGTTTCTCTGAGTTTACATATAAGCGCTCCTGCTTGAGGTGATGAGCCAGAGTATGAATATCTAGCTTCACCATCTTCAATGTGGGAAAGGCTCAAAAGCTGATCACTAAAAGTAAAAAGACAAATATTTAAAATTTATGTCACTTAAGTTATTTTCTAAAATCAAAATGGATAGGAGAACAGATTAAGAATTAGGTTATATTTGGCCAGGCGTAGTGGCTCATGCCTGTAATTCCAACACTTTGGGAGGCCCAAGGCGGGCAGATCACAAGGTCAAGACATAAAGACCATCCTGGCCAACATGGTGAAACCTCGTCTCTACTAAAATAAATAAATTAGCGGGGCATGGTGGTGCGAGCCTATAGTTCCAGCTACTCAGGAGGCTGAGACGGGAATCGCTTGAACCCAGGAGGCAGAGGTTGCACTGAGCTGAGATCGCATCACTGCACTCCAGCCTGGTAAGAGAACAAAACTGGAGACTCCATCTCAAAAATAATAATAATAATAATTAGGTTATGTTTGATACCACTTTTAACTCTAATTTTCAAATAATCTGTATGTTTTTATTACAAAAGTATTATAGGTTTGGTATAGAAAAACTGGCAAATACAGGTAAGCAAAAAGAAAACAAAGTTTACTGCTAAGGCCACAGCTCAGAGGTAGTTGTTGTATATCCCATGTATATCCTCAAATCCAATGCCTGTTAACCCCAGAGTTATCCTTCACTGTGCTCTTTCAAATCACAATCAAAATATCCTGTCGATTCTATCTTCAAAATATTTCTAAAATCTGACTACTTATTCCCACCTCCATTGCTAATCATATCAATTCTCACTAGGTCTATAACCACCACATCCTAAGTGATCTCCCTGCTTCCTCTCTGGTACTTCTAGAGTCTGTTCTCTACATAGCGTGAATTAAACTTAAGTCAGATCACTTTATTCCCCTACTAGAAACCATCCAAAGGCTTTACTTCATGATAGAATGAAATCTGAAGGTACTACATGATCTACCCCTGGCTACTTCTCCAATTTCCTCTCCTACAATCCTACCCTAGTTCACACAGCTCCAGACACATCTGCCTTCTTGCTGTCCCTTGAACAGGCCAAGCATGTCCCTCTCTCAAAGTGTCCACATTTGCTGACCTCCCTGTCCAGAAGGTTATTCTTCCAGATAGCTGCAAGGCTAATGCCTTCATTCCATTCAGATTTCTCGACTCAAATGTCTATTTAGAAAGGTCTTCTCAGACAATTCCTTCTAAAATAGAAAATATAGCTTCCTAATGCCTCTTCTGGCCTTTTAAAAAAGCAATGCCCCTATCTAGCATTATATTACAGATATCTACCTGCATGTTAATCATGCTTATTATGAGGCTTCCCCACCAGAAGGTAAGTGCCAACAGGGCCAAGCCTTATTTGTTTTATTCACTCACAGCTGTAATTTCAGGGACTAAGAGAAGGCCTGGTTCACAGCAAGAGTTGAATAAATATTTGCCAAAGGGATAAATGAAATCTCACTACTCTTGTTTATCTAGTAGCTAAACAAACTGATACAAATATCACACATATTTTAAAGCATTATTATTTAAGCTATGCCCTTGAACCTAGAATTTGTGCCAGATCACAAATGTGAAATCAACAATAGAAATACCTGTGGCACAGATAACAGAACATAATACTGTGTGTCCAGGTAGGAGACAGTCATCAAGTTAGCAAAAAATTTCTTGGTCAGGTATGGTGGCTCATGCCTGTAATCCCAGCATTTTGGGAGGTCAAGGCAGGTGGCTCATTTGAGGTAAGGAGTTCGAGACCAGCCTGGCCAACATGGTGAGACCCTGTCTCTACTAAAAATACAAAAATTCAGCTGGGCACGGTGGCTCACGCCTGTAATCCCGGCACTTTGGGAGGCCGAGGCAGGCGGATCACGAGGTCAGGAGTTCAAGACCAGACTGGCCAACATGGTGAAATCCTGTCTCTACTAAAAAATACAAAAATTAGCTGGGCATGGTGGCTCGTGCCTGTAATCCCAGCTACTTGGGAGGCTGAGGTAGGAGAATTGCTTGAACCGGGACCCGGGAGGTGGAGGCTGCAGTGAGCCGAGATCGCGCCACTGCACTCCAGCCTCGACTACAGAGCAAGACTAGATCTAAAAAAAAAAAAAAAAAAAAATATTCTCTGAGTATGGGAGCAGGCACCTGTAGTCCTAGCTAGTCCAAAGCTGAAACAGGAGAAACTTGAACCCAGGAGGCAGAGGTTGCAGTGAGCTGAAATTGCGCCACTGCACTCCAGCCTGGACAACAGAGTGAGACTCTGTCTCAAAAAAAAGAAGAAGAAAAGAAACAGATTTAGCCATTTAAAATTTTGAAGCTGGGCGTGGTAGCTCATGCCTGTAATCCCAAACTTTGGGAGGCTGAGGTGGGTGGATCACCTGAGATCAGGAGTTCAAGATCAGCTTGGCCAACATAGTGAAACTCCATCTCTACTAAAAATACAAAAAATTAGCTGGGCATGGTAGAAGGTGCCTGTAATCCTAGTTACTTGGGAGGCTGAAGCAGGAGAATCACTTGAACCCGGGAGGTGGAGGCTGCAGTGAGCCGAGGTCACACCATCGCACTCCAGACTGGGCACCAAGAATGAGACTCCATCTCAAAAAAAAAAAAAAAAAATTTTTTTTAATTTCTGCAATTTTTAACTTTCTTTTCTTATTTGAATGAACTGATGACTAGGAAAATTTCAGGTAGTACTGTGAAACCTGAATTTAATTACTTTAAAAAAAACACTTTCTTGTACCTTATTGATTCCCCAGCAAACCATGCAAAGCTGCTATTCTAAATCTCCTACACTGTTGGAGATTGCTTTCCATATTGCTTTCCTCTGAAAAGATATTATTATGTCTAGTTCACCAAGATGATTTCCTATTGAATTAGTCACAAAAGCATGTGTGTACATTTTTTTAAATGGTGGCATAAATACGTTTATTCTTATTAATTCAGTCTACAGAAAATACATGTATGACTTTGCAGACTTTCATGTGAGAACTCAAGCACCCTCTAGGGGGCTCTAAGTCCACAGGCTAAGAACAGAATCATGCTCTTAATGGTTTTAATTACGAGAAGTATCCTAGTTAATGAAAGCAGTACTGAAATGGGCTAAATAGGTTAAAAACCTATATGCAGCCCAGCATGGTGGCTCACACCTGTAATCCCAGCATTTTGGGAGGGCGAGGCAATCAACTCAGGCCAGGAGTTTAAGACCAGCCTGGCCAACATGGTAAAACCCCATCTCTACTAAAAATACAAAAAAATTAGCCAGGCATGGTGGTGGGTACCTGTAACCCCAGCTTCTCCGGAGGCTGAGGCGGAGGACTGCTTGAACCCAGGAGGCGGAAGCTGCAGTGAGCCAAGATTGCACCAGTGCACTCCAGCCTGGGTGACAGAGTGAGACTCCGTCTCAAAAACAAAAAAAAAAAAGTACCCATTTCTTCTA